CGTTGCAGGGGCGTTACAAATTCCCATGGGATACCGGACCCATTGCCACGTGCCCTCAAACAGGACAAAGGCGGTTTTGGGTCGGTCCTCCGGTCAGACTGCAACGTGGTGAAAACCGTGTCAGATATCGAACTTGGAAAAGACTCGAGCGGCCCCGATAGCATCTAACAAATCATCGATTCGCGGCAAGGGATACACATCTTTGGTAGTGATGGCGTTCAATTTCCGGTAGTCGATACATACCCGAACCGAGCCATTTCGTTCTGGCACGAGGACCACGGGAAAAGACCATGGTCCCAGCGACGGTTCGACCCATCCCAACCGCTCGAATTCCCGTACCCTTTCCAACGCCAGTTGCCTTTCTTTAAGGGAATATCGGTACGGTCAGCAATGTATCGGGGCGTGATCCCCGGTGTCAATCGCGTGTTGTATCAAAGGGGTTAGCCTTATGTCGTGGTCCTGAATGCTGACGGCCTCAGGATAGGCCCGTATAACCGCCAAGAGGAGGCGTTTGTATTCGTCCGGAAAACGGGCTGGTACTTGAACTTCTACGGTTCCCCCAGGAAAGGAGACCGCCGTCGTAACCATGGGGACCGCCGCATTGGCATCGGGCGAGGGCCCAAATAAAGAGTTCTCAGTTTTCGCCGAAAGGACCGTCGCAATAAGTTGGCTGTCCGTCGGACTCATCGGCTCGCTTTCCATGTCACTGTCACTGTCCAGTTCGGGTTCGGCCGAGGGTTCGACCGAAAAGGCCTGCGCCAGTTCCCTCGGTCCCCACCGATACTCCGTCGTTCGGGGTTGAAACGACACCCCCTCTTTCAGGAGTATCGCGGCTTTTTCATTCGTGAGTAGGGGCCGTGGAGGTCGAAAAAAAAAATCGCACAGCCCCCTCAGCTCGGTAAATCTTTCAGGTAGGGGGTCCGTCCTGAGATACAAGGACGCAGGGGGTTCCGAAAGGTCAGCTATTCGGGACAMCCTMAGYAGGGTTTCCCTCTGCACTACGGAGGAGAACGCGYGCGACCAATTGGACTCGCTCCGAACTATYTCCAGTGGTTCTCGCCACCAAGAATGGCGCCACCGATCCTGAACTCGGATCGGATATCGGTCGGGTACATCAGTCTTATCAGTTTCCGTCGAGGGTTCATTTCCGTCTGGTGACAGGCGTCAGATCACGTTGATTTGATGGGCTTTCGTGGTGAGGCGAGGCGCCGGCTGGGCGCACATGCGCACCGCCAGTCTCATTGGTATCGTTTGGGGTTTGGGGTGGGCCGATGTGAGCACCGCCTTACAGCTGTCAAAGTGCATTCGCGCTCCGACTGCCTCCTGCCACAGAATGCCTAGCAGAACATCATACGCCTGTTCATCGAGCACGATCACGTCATACAAACAATGCACCCGCCCCACTCGTATAGGCACGTTCGTGATTCGCCCTTTACAATGAATACTATCTTCCGTAGCGGATATATACAATTCATCCGGCCGGAGGGGCTGAACCTGTCCTTCCCTTCGCAACTGTTTCGTCAATCTCCAAGAAATGGCGACCTGATCCCGAGTCTAGGATGGCGGCCGAGGGGTTTCCCCAGACCTCACAGTCACACTTTACGCTTTTCCAGGTTATAGGATAGGCCCGGAGAACATACCTCAGGTTTTTCTGAGGCGGAATCTACGGTCTGGATCATCCCTATCCGGTTGGCTTCGTGCACCTCTGAGGTCGAGGGCTGTGACTCCTCGTTAGTGGGTGGGTCCCGTAGGACCGTCTTTTTGCCCTTTCGACTTTCCTCGAAGGCATCCAATACGTCGATATGGCCATCCTTGTATTCAGGACCAGGTACCTCAAGATCCTCGAATCCTAGTCGCCACGGCCCGAGGTCGCTTTCCTCGGTAATCCGTTGGACGTGACGTATCGCTCCGATGGTCCCGGGTTCGAACATCGCTGCCGCCATATAGTCATCGAGTCCTATCTCAGTGGCCGCCGGGGTCACCATCTCCATCGTTCCTTTGTCCATTAACGTGGCTACCCTCCCCTGTCCTGCAGCGGTGGGAGCAGCCAGCGGGATTTGGGAAGGTCCGGTGGGCCCGCCCTGAGTTCGGGGTTTCGGACAATCTTTCGCAAGGTGGCCTGGCTGATTACAGTTATAACAGCGCAGGGGTGGGACAGCCCCGGCCACGGCCGGTCTTATCATAGGGGCTCCGGCAGCCATAGCCGCCTGTTGCCGTTGTGCGGCGGCTATGCGTTGCTGTTGCAGACCTTGCTCCGCCAACGGGGCTACTACCGTAACTAGTTGGGCCGCGACTTCTTTCATGGATACTTCTTCCTCGCCCCGGCCTCCTTGCGTTTGACTAGAGCGACGGGAGGCCAAAGCAGAGGAAGAAGTTTTTCGATCCGAGCCTTTTTTTGCCGGACCCAACCCGAAGCGATCTTCGAATATTCGTGTCGTAGCGGAGTAGCTATTGCGTCGAACACCCGAAGGGTCATCTTCGTCGAATTCTAAGTCCAGGCCCACATCGTAATTTTCTTTCCCGTACTTAATTGCGTACTGAATTAACTCCGTCAGGGTATGTTTTATAGGGTTGCATTTCTTGCGGATCTTTTTCCGCAAACGAGAATCTGACAGTCCCCTGACGAAATCAGTCCGTACCATTTCCTCATCCACCCCGGAGCGTTCGGCTAGGTACGTAAAATGTTCAGCATATCTAGCCAAGGTCTCCCGAGGCTGCTGTGTGTATTCCTTCATTAAACGAAGGCATTGACGTGGTGGGATGTGATCAAATCTATCGAGAAATTTCCTCTGGAAGGCTGCCCAATTAGTGAAGGGGTTTTGTCCGTACCATTCAAAAGCGGTTCCGGCTAACCTTCCGGGAATTCGTTCTCGAGCAACTGGTCCGACCAGCCCTGGGCTTTCAAGGCAGCTAGCCAGGTGCGAGGATCGGTGTCATCTTCAGAAAAAATGGGAACTTCGGAGGGAGGAGGTACAAAGTACAGGGGATGATTGACCATCCCCGCGTGGTTGTTGCCATCGTTTTCACCCCCGATTCCGGGTTCCACCATCGCGGGAGGCGGGTTTCGAGCCCGGCCTCTGGCTTGGTTCTGATTGCTATTCGCGGGCCTCCGTCGACGGGGAGCCACCCTACTCAAAAATGCGAAAAATCTAATGAAAAGATCAAAAAGAAAAAGGAGAAACTTTAAAACAGGGTAATCGTCCTACGAAAACCTCGGAGCCGAAACGAATCAGCTCTGATACCAACCTCCCACCCCCTCGCAGCTTCCCGTACGGGGTCGCCGATCAGAGTTCTAGGAGGGGCGTGGCCGAGGATTTTTGGCCGTAAGGGTTGAGTCCCCCGGACGGAACGGGAGGCCCTCGTTTCGTGCCAGAGGTTTTCCCCGGAGTCGAACTGTCTTCGCGGAGTCCCGTGGGGGTCGGATCACTCCGAAACGATAAACTCAAAAAAGGTTTCCGCAAAAATGAACTGCCGTCATGCATCGGGACGGAAAAAGGCATCAAGGGGAGAGGGTCATGGCGGCGGAGGACAAAACTTCGGCCGTCAGGGGTTTGGGGGATAGGTGGCGGGTTCGAAGCCTTCAGGCCTCATCACCGGCCTCAAAAAGTGGCCGAACCCTCGGGTCTTTGCTGCGGAGGTGGTTGGTTTGAGGCCTTTAAGCCTCAGCGTCGGACTCACAGAGTCCGCGCGAACGTTTCCGGGAGGGTAAAGCGACGGGAGGACTCGCCGGAATCTGAATTCGAAATTACGCGGTCAGCGCCCCTGCACTACAGGAAAGCTCGGGGAAACGTGTCGCTCCCTCGTAACCCAGGACCAGTCGTCGCCAAGAACACAAGTCCCCCTGGCGACACCAGTGACAATCAAACTGCGGCTGCCACGCGGCGTGAGCGGCCGACCAGGGCAACACCGTCAAACCCGTATAAGGCAATATTAAAGTCGGGGAATCAAAACGATCAATCAAAACAAACCCGTTCCCCCTTATCTCACAAGCTCGAGGCGGGTCCTGCCAAGACACTTGCTCCGTCCGCCGCAGCGCGTGCCGTACATCCGCATCGCAATAGACGCTGTCGTCATCTGCGATGGGGAAGGTCGGTAGCGAGATGAGACGATCGGAGGTACGTGATGAACACGGGCAAGGTCCCGCGTTCCCGGTCATCTGAACCAACACCGAATCCATACAACAGTCGTCTCAACTCCTCTCTCTTTGAGGTGGGTGCGTCAAGGGAAGACGACAAAGTCTAAGCTCTCTCCCCTCGCGGGGGCATCGACCGTCCACGCAGACGCAAGCGGTTGACGTCACCGGTACGGGGGCGAGAAGCTCCAAAAGCGAAGACTATCAGTTCAAAAAGGAAAGCATTAGAGAGAGAGAGAGAGAGAGGGTGAGGTGCGCCGAGACCGCGCAAGAGCGCAGAAAAGGCCACGGAGGGGAGGGGAACAACCGGATCAACACACTCATACTCCTAAGCAGACGGTCCCCCAGTTCAACTTCCCCATCCCCGACCGGACGAGTACATACACACATACATGCATGCAATCAACAACTCTTGATAGGACATCTAATCATCCATGAACCTTCGACATCACTCGTGCGCACAACCAGCTCCCATCACTCGGGGCTTCACACACACGACATGCATGGACAAAGCAGCAATGGAGATAAAAGCGAGTCCTTCTTGTACACAAAAATTTCAATTAGCTGCGGCCCCCAGGCGCAGCCTTCAAAACTTCCCAAGACCACCGACCACCATAGCCACAAGGCCCTGCCGCGGCCGGCGTCCAATCCCCACCACTGCTCAGTCCCTCCGACTAGTTAGCCCCGAGACTACCGCGGGGCCCACCCCACGTCGTCACTCCGCGCGTGCTTGGGCTCGTCGAGCCTGTTCGGCGTCGCGGACTCTCGCTCATAGCTCACGCGACATTGCAGCCGAGATCAAAGAGGAGGAGAGGAGAGGGTTGCGCAAATTTATAGCGCGGGAGGCCATTTAGAAATGGTCTAAACTGCCAGTGCGGGGGCCATACATCGGCCGCGCCACAAAAAAATGATTCCACACGGATGTACCTGCCTGCTACCACCGGCCATTTCCCAGCGGGCCTGCACTACCGTGTTAACTTCCGCCAGCCATTTTGCGGCGGGCTTGCCGGCGGGCTTGCAGTTATGTGTTCACCGCCAACAGCCATTTCACGGCAGGCCTGCTTGTCCGTGTTAAACGCCACATTTTTTGTTTTTCAAGCAGGCAAAGGTACTGGTGGTGTAATAGGCTTTGCCTTTTGTTTTCCCCGACATCTGGTGGGGTGTAGTATTGGGAGTGGTACTACCGTCCCCCAGCACCACACCCCCTACCGATGGGTCTGATCTATTGGTGGGGTGCAACACCCTGCTGGAAACCGGGTAGAGTGTGTGATAAGCTCAGATCCGTACCGCGCGGCTTGCCGTATCCCTGAGGAAAAATCCCGCGGAAGCCCCGACGTACGGACGCGGATAGAAAGGGGTTTTTCTTTCTTTTTGCTTTTGTTTTCTTTTTGAAACGGCTTTTTCATTTTGTTTGGTTAATAACTCCCGTGGGTGAATAGCAGCCGCGGTATGAAAACCAAAAAACGGGTGCGGTTGGGACTTTTTGAATTTTTGCGCGCGTGCCCAAGCTCCGATTTCTTTGCGCGTCTTGCATCCCCGTTTCTTGCTTTGCATCCTCGCGCCATCTTCCCTTCTTGCTGCACGCGTTTTCCCCATGCAGGACTCTTCGTCCTCCCCTACGCCCAGCTTGATTCTTACCCCGTCTTCCTCCGCGAAGTGATTGGCTGCGTAGTTGGGATGCTCGGATCAATGTGGAAAGCGGGAAACCACGCACCACTTGGACGAACACCCCAATCATGTAGCCATGCAATCCCGCGGGTCGAACCCTCTAACTCCCCACCTCTCTCTCTTGTCCTGCTCATCTACACCCTGTGCTGCCCGCACCTCGCGCTGTTAACCAGCCGCCTCCCGCGCTATAAATTTGCGCGACCCTCTCCTCTTCTCCTCTCCGATCTCGGCTGCAATGCTGCGCGAGCTATGCGCGAGAGTCCGCGGCGCCGAACAGGCTCGACGAGCCCAAGGACGGGCGGAGTGACGATGTGGGGTGGACCCGCGATAGTCTCTGGGCGAAGCAGTCGGAGGGACTGAGCAGTGGTGGGGATTGGACGCCGGCTGCAGCAGGGCCTTGTGGCTATGGTGGTCGGTGGTCTTGGGGAGTTTTGAAGGCTGCGCCTGGGGGCGGCAGCTAATTGAAATTTTTGTGTACAAGAAGGACTCGCTTTTATCTCCATTGCTGCTTTGTTTATGCATGTAGTGTGTATGAAGCCCCGAGTGATGGGAGCTGGTTGTGTACATGAGTGATGTCGAAGGTCCATGGATGATTAGATGTCCTGTCACGGGTTGTTGATTGCATGCATGTATGTATGTATGTACTCGTCCGGGCGGGGATGGGCAAACTGAACTGGGGGACTGTCTGCTTAGGAGTACGAGTGTGTTGATCCGGTTGTTCCCCTCCCCTCCGCGGCCTTTTCTGCGCTCTCGCGAGGTCTCGACGCAACTCACCCTCTCTCTCTCTCTCTCTCTGTCTCTCTCTCTCTCTCTAATGCTTTCCTTTTTGAACTTATAGTCTTCGCTTTTGGAGCTTCTCGCCCCCTTACCGATGACGTCAACCGCTTGCGTCCGCGCGGACGGTCGACACCCCCGCGAGGGGAGAGAGATTAGACTTTGTCGTCTTCCCTCGACGCACCACCTTAAAGAGAGAGGAATTGCGACGACTGTTGTATGGATTCGGTGTTGGTTCGGATGACCGGGAACGCGGGACCTTGCCCGTGTTCATCACGTACCTCCGATCGTCTCATCTCGCTACCGACCTTCCCCATCGCAGATGACGACAGCGTCTATTGCGATGCGGACGTACGGCGCGCGCTGAGGCGGACAGAGCAAGTGTGTTGGCAGGACCCGCCT